GGGGGGAGCTCTGGGTCCTACGGTCCGTGGTGTGGCTGGCTCGGGTTCCCTCCTTCTATTTGTTACTTTTGGCCAGTCCTCCAGACCTCTTTTTGTTTCCCGTTTCGCTTGTGTAAGCAAACGGCTGATTATCAATAAATGCTCGTTACCAAGTACCGGTTATTGCGTGTATTCTTTCATGTTGCGGGTCTCAGCACGAGCAACTACCGCGGAGTAGAGGTTGGGGCCGTAACATGTCCAAGACACTGTGAAGTGTACTTTGCACTTCAATGGAGTAATACAAAGTTAAAATGGGCATTTTCTTTGTTTTTCTTTGTTGATTGAGCTGATTGAATTGTGTAGTTATGTGAAATCCCAGTTAACTAGTCAGATTTACAATATAATATCGTATTATTTACATTTTTATATTTACAGTAAATTACTGGCTAATGTGTTGTATTACTTCTACAGTAAAAGTGTAAAAATACAGGTAATTACTGTAATTTATGTACAGCAAGGTACCATAATACCACAGCTCTGTACTGCTGTATCACTAATTCCATGGGCATGGCAACTGTAAAGTCACAGTATTTAGTTGTGCTTTTATTCTAATTTACTGTAAAATATCTACAGTAAATTACTGTGAAATATTTACAGTCAATTACTGTGAAATCCATGCAACTAGTAGCCAGTAATTTACTGTAATTGTACAGCCAAACATTTTACAGTGTACCTTAATGAACAACTATGAAATGTTTTTAATAGATGAACTTAAACAATAGCAAACAAACAGTACCTATAAGGGTGGGCGTTTCTTTTTCTGTATTTTTACTTGTATCATTTGTATATCTTCTACCTTGTGAAGGTGGTTTGGAAAATGTATCAAAGGTTGGTCACAAAAATAAGTTATAACCCTCACCTTAAATGTAACTTTATAGTAGAGTTATAGCAGCAGTAAGGAGTGAAATATGCTCAGTCAGTGTCATGCAGGATAAATGGACCCTCTGTTTTTTAGGATATGTTCTGGGTTTATACTGTTGAAGTGAATAAGTGAATGTCATTTCATGCCTTCCTCCACGAGATAAACTTCTGTTTTAGAGAAAATGGGCCAGGAAATGAAACATGTCAAATGTGGATTGGTTGACTATTTTTTATAGAAGCACAGACTTGATAAATGACTAACATGGGCTACATGCGTAGGATTTTCTAAGTCACACACAGACTTCAGATTTACTCATGTGCTGGACAGAATAATCAATAACTGTTCAGCAGGATATGTGAAATAGTTCATCCTTTTAGCGCAAAAATAGCTGAAAGAGCTTTGGGTTAGGGTTTCAAGTTTTATACTCCAAATAAAAAAAACTATTGCCAAAATGTGATT